GATGGAGACTCTGAATGGACTTCAAGGGAGAAACCCCAGGGGAGATCAAAGCAGGAAGAGAGACAGGCAAGACCTTCACTTTGAAGCTCAACTCTGGCAAGGATGGGGTGGAGACAAGGCATCAGAGCATTTCCACCGTTCCCTACCCAGTCTTCCAGCCGTCTAGGTCTTATGATACGCCAGATGTCTGAGTTGCTGCAGTTTGGATACAATGGGTGAAAAGCTACCTGACAAGGCACGTCTGCCACCCAATCCTCCCTCTGTGCTGGAGGTGATCAGTGCAGGAAAACAGCAGTGAATTTTGGTCTTCCTCCAAGTAAAGAAAAGGTCATCAGGAAAGAGTTTTGAACATACAGGAGACTGTGTGGACCAGCCTGAAGAAGATGGCCTCAGTATAAAAGAAAGACTTGAGTTTGGGGTGGAAGTAAATGAGGTCATCCTAAGAGACCGTGCAGAGGGACAATGAACTATGACAAAATTTAATGGGTGCCAACATTTTAGGTTGTCCTAGCCCAACCGGACAACAAATGTAAGCCCCTAGCGATGGCACGTGTCTATAACACCACCACTCAGGCGGCAGAAACAAAAGAGTTATCACGAGATTGAGGCTAGTTTAGACGACAAAGTTAGTGAAAGGCCAGCCGGAGCTATACAGCAAGATCCTGTTTCAAAGCAAAAACCATTGTCTGATGAAGTCAAGCTGACTGCTAGATATGACCTTACACATGCTTCTGTACTCACAGCCCTTGGGAAGCAGAGGGGTCACAAATTCAAGAGCAGGTGTGTTGGATCCCAGGCCTTTCCCAGCTCCTCGAGGCGCTATGCAGGACTGTTTACCCAACCAGTCTAGCTTCCTGCCATCTCCTCTGCTCGCTCCACTGGCTAGGGGAATTAGCATAGAGAGCCTTATCCTCTATTGGTATGGTAATTCCACCTGCAAAGAAGGGTTCTCACAGGGGCACCTGCCCTGTCTGTCACTGCAGCTAGCTCGGCACCCCCTGCTCGGCAGATTCTGTCATCCGGTGCCAGGCGCCCAACACCTTGATCTCACTCCCGTCTGGGAGGGGGTTCTCCTCCTTTGGCCCCCAAGTATTTAAACCTGGAATTTCGCTGAATAAAGTTGACATTTACCTTTTCGGGCAAATGATCCAGGTCTCTCTGTGTCTGTGTGTGTCTGTTTTTAACTCCTAGGACATTGTTCCAAGCTCGCGGTTCAATACGGGAGGCGCGCACCCGTGTTGGGGAGTAAGGGCTCACAGAATTGGGTGGAACACAGCTGGGCCACATAATGAAACCGTAAAAAAAAACCTGGAAGGAGCCAGGTGTGGTCGGGCACAAGTTTAATCCCAGCTCTCAGTGAGTTTGAGGCCAGCCTGGTCTACAAAGCAAGTTTCAGGAGAGCCAGGGCTGTTACACAGAGCAACCTTGTCTCAAAAAACAAACAAGGGGTGGTGGGGCTCAGCAGATGGGTTAGCTGCTTTTCCCGAGGATCAGGATTTGATTCCCAACACCCACAGTATGGCTCACAATGCCTGTAACTCTAGTTCCAAGGCATTTGACACCCTCTCCTGGCTTCCTCAAGCACTAGGCACACACAAGTGCACCCACACAGATGCAATAGAAATAAATAATTTCTTAAGTTGGGATGCCTGGCATGGTAGCATATTCCTGTAAGTCCACTCAAACAAGTGGATATGCTCTCAGCTATGATCTGAACTGTGGCCTCTTCCAGGTGAAGGTACAAATAAACAAAATAAATAAATAAACAAATAAACCTCCAAATAAACAAAAGGACAAAGATGGTCTGATGTGGGATTCCCCTCTGTATGCTGTGAATACCATTAGTTAATAAAGAAGCTGCTTTGGGCCTATTGCAGGGCAGAGTAGGGCAAGGCGGGAGTGCCAAGCAGATAGAGGAGGAGAGAATAGGCAGAGTCGATGAGATGCCATATAGCTGCTGTAGGAGACAGACACTGGACAGAACCCTACCAGCCACAACCACATGGCAATACACAGATTAATAGAAATGGGTTAATTTAAGAAGTAAGAGTTACTCTCTCAGAACAAATAGAAGATATTTAAGAATATCCATGTTGAGTATACTTGTTGAATTTGATGTTCAAGTATACAAGTAATTGGTTTTCTAGTGTCATTGCTAATATATCAACAAGCTCATATTTCAGAAAAGCACCATGAGTACTAGGACTGTTTAAATATTTCTGTTTGTCTTAGTTCACTTAGGAAATGTAGTATCACTCACAGTATAGGAAACTTTATGAATGCAATAAGAGTGGTAAAGCTGTGAGTTTTTTTCAGTTCTCTTCCAATACATGAAAATTCTCATACAGAAAAAAGATTCTGTAAATGTAAACCATGTAATAAAGGCTGTTATCAGTTATCTTCAAAAAAAAAAAAAGAAGTAAGAGTTAGCCAGCAATATGCCTAAGCTAATAGGCCAAGCAGTGATTTAATTAGTACAGTTTCTGCATTGTTATTTTGGGTCTGGCAGCTGGGAATGAACAAGCAGCCTCTGCCAACAATGGTCCCATTGCGAGAGGCAATGCATCAGTTACTGTTCCTGCTTTCTGGGGGATCTCTGTGAGTTTGAGTAGTCTACATAGTGAATTCCAGGCCAACGAGGGTTACGTAGCGAGACCCTATCTCAAAAGGAGAAAAGAAAACAAACAGGCATTGTGAGGGGTACCGCATGCCTGTAAGTATACAGTACTTGAGAGGTAGAGGAAAGAGGACCATGAGTTCAAAGTCATCCTCAGCTATTTCCTGAGTTCCTAGTCAGCGTGAGATTGTCTCCAAAAAGCAGACAAACATAGGTTTCTTGATTGAAGACTTATACTTTTTCCAGGACTCCTTCCTAAGAGCAAGGGTACATTTTTAATCTATCCAACTTTTATTTTTCTGTTGCTTCTAGGCTTCAAAATATTTGCATTCTAATACTTTATAGTTTTCCATAAGGAAACACTTCATTTTCTGCCATGGCAGATGTGGACTCTTTTCCGGGACACGGTTTTCTGTGTTCCAGTGTTGGCCATCCTGAAACTCTCCTTGCAGTCCAGGCTGGCCTCAAACTCACAGAGATCTGCCTGATGCAGACCCTTTTTTTGGGGGGGGGGTGTTCTTTTTTCAAGACAGGGTTTCTCTGTGTAGCTTTAGGGCCTGTCCTGGAACTCACTTTGTAGACCAGGCAGGCTGTCCTTAAACCTAGAGAGATCCTCCTGCCTCTGCCTTCTGAGTGCTAGGATTAAAGGTATGTGCCACCACTGCCCAGCGATGCATACTCTTAAAAAAACAACAAAAACGCTTTTTCAGAATCCATCTCCACAGCAAGAAAAGCTGCACAGAACTATTCAAATACTGCTCGGCCCTTGGAGCCTTCTAGTCGCATAGACATATAGCTTGGTGTGTACATCTCCCTAGAAGCATTCAGGACAGAGAGTCACGTGCTCCCTCAGGTAAACTGTGGGTGTGTTTGTGAGAGATGATCTAAGTTAGGTTAACTGTGGTGCGATGTGGGATTCCTCTCTGTATGCTGTAAATACCATTGGTTAATAAAGGACTGCTTTGGACCTATAGCAGGGCAGAACAGAACTAGGCAGGGAAAGCTAGGATGTAGGCAGGAAGAAAGAAGGTAGAGTCAGGGGGAAGCCATGGAGTTGCCTCCGAAGACAGACACACTGAAACTTTGCTGGTAGGCCATGACCTCGTGGTGATGGACAGATTAATGGAGATGGGTTAAGTTAAGATGTAAGAGTTAGCCAATAAGAAGCTGGAGCTAATGGGCCAAGCAGTGATTTAACTAATAGAGTTTTTGTGTGATTATTTCATGGCTGAGCAGCTGGGACAAACAAGCAGCATCATTACTATAGGGGTGGGAAGAGCTACTGATTATAAGCAGTGCTTTTCCATGGACTGAGGTCCCTAACGGAATAAAAGGAGAGCTGAGCACCCACCCATCCATCACTCTCTGCTTACTTGACTGTGATCCCTACCTCACACTTCTCCCTGAATGACTTCCCTGCCCTGTGGACTAGCTCCTCAAACTGGGAGTCAGCAGAGACCCTTTCGTCACTGCTGTTTTCTTGGGGTCACAGCAAGGAAAAAAGTAATTGATGGCTTCCAATGGAAATCAGCCATGCTTGCCATATCCTTTGTTTATTGTGGGTTTGTACCTTCTCCTGGGAGAAATCACAGCTGAGGTCATAGGCCATACTGAGTGAAGGCTATGTACCATCCTATCCATTTGTCCATTCCTACTCTTGACAGCCATCTGGCAGAGAATATACCTGTAAGAGATTTTGTAAAAAGTATAGTGGTAAGCTGGGGGTGGCTCACGCCTTTAGTCTCAGCACTTGGGAGGTAGAGGCAGGTGCATCTCTGAGTTTGAGGCCAGCCTGGTTTACAGAGAGAATTCTAGGACAGCCATAGCTTGACAACTGAAGTGGCATGTGACAAAAGAATGGCCAGGTTCATATCCCACCTGATTTCATTTGTCCTTAGCCTGAACTAGCTAAAAAGGGGTGAGGGGGTTGGATAAAGCCAATGGCGTGCACTGCTAACTAGCACAAAACAAGACCCACAGTCGCTGCCAATGACTTGCTGCATGGATCTCTACCTGGAAGGTGGCTCTTACATGATCACTAAATCAGTGTACTGAAGCTGCCTGTGGACCCTCAGCAAGATCTTGATGTAGACCAACAGCTTCCTAGGCAGGATGTATTCAAAGATACAGAAATACATCACATAGCTCAAGGGGACCACATTTGAGAAGAGCCATGTCATGAGATGGCAGTTTTCATCACAGCCTTTGATGGTACTCTTTTTACTTTTCTAGCCCAGGGATAAAATCAATCTGAAGCCAAAGCAAGGACCCAGATGTAGGTGGAGTTTCTCTGTGTCTCAGCAGTCGCTCCCAAATAACCATTCAAAGACTTGGTTTTGTTTTTTTGTTTGTTTGTTTGTTTGTTTGTTTGTTTATTCTCAGAATAGGAAAATTTATTACTGTGCTTCCACTGTCAAAATTTAGGATCTTGGTCTTTCCTTCTCGCCTTTGTACAGGGCCAAAAGGGACACATTGGCTACTTAACAACCTTAAAGCGGACTCCAGGGATATCACCTACAGCATGACTCTTTCGACCAAATCCAGCAACCAGAACTTCATCGTTTTCCTCAATAAAGTTCAAGCAACCATCATTGGGCACGAAAGCTGTGATCTTCTTGCCGTTCTTGATTAGCTGCACCCTGACACACTTCCTGATAGCAGAATTTGGCTGCTTGGCTTCAACTCCTACTTTTTCCATCACGATTCCCTTGGCATGAGAGGCACCTCCAAAAGGATTGGCCTTCAGGGCTGTGCCCAAGTGGGCTTTCTTGTATTGTTTATCATGCCATTTCTGGTCCCGTCGGTGGCTGCGGAGCTTCCTGGCAGTACGGAGACCACAACACTTCCCCATCTTGCCGACGCCACAGGCCCCAGAGAAAGAGCAAAGACTTGTTATCAATTATAAATGTTCGACTGTTGTGAAATATTAGTTGAAGATGTGTTACATTTGTTTATGCTCTGGAACATTTGTTGGATGATGCAAAGATGTGTTGCCCACCATCAGCACAATGTCCACACAAAAACACAGATTGCACAAGCTTGCACCTCACAGTCAATGTAGGTGGATTTTTCTTTCCCACCTGCCAGCTTCCAAATCACAACACAGACACTTATTATTAATTATAAAAGTTCAGCCGACAGGATGGCTTGGGCTTGTTACTAACTCTTTCAACTTAAATTAACTCATTTTTTTTTATGATTTGCTCTCTGCTTTGTGGCTTTACTACCTTTACTTTGTGCTTCCCATACTGCTTCCTCTCTGGCTGATGACTCCCCTGCCTCTGCCCCTCTCCTTTCCAGCATCCACTCTGCCCAAAAAAATTTTGCCTTCTATTGGCCATTCAGCTTTTTATTAAACCAATCCAAGTGACAAATCTTCGGTGTACAAAAAGATTATTCCACAAGTGAATAAGAGAGTTTATTCTAGAGCCAAATAGGAGTGACAAGGCTCAGGGAATTGCTGTATGATATTTTGTTTGTGTTCTGATAAATAAAGTTTGGTTGGAGAGCAGAGGGTAGGGCTAGCTAGTAGTTAACCATGAAGGCCAGGCAGTGGTGGCACACAGCTTTAATTTTGGCCCTTACAAGGAGGAAGGAGAAAGATCAGAAGTTCAAAGTCACTCTGGGCTACAGGAGACTGACCCAGTCTAAAGGAGAAACAGAGCTGGGCGGCGGTGCACACCTTTTTGTTCCAGCACCACTAGGGAGGTGGAGACAGGAATATAAGGCGGTGGAGACAGGGTCGCCCCTTCAGTCTGAGGATTTGTGAGGATTCAGAGACAGGATCGTGGCCGTTCAGTCTAAGGATCCGTAGGAGGTAAGAAGTCTCCGGTGGCTGCTCTGCTTCTCTGACCTTTCAGCTTTTGCCCTCAATGATTACCGGGTCGCACATCAGAGAATTCAGATAAGGTTACCCCAAATGCCGTGGTCCAAAGTAGTGACAGCATGAAATTTTTATAGGAACAAAGTGACAAGCAGTGGAAACAACAGGTAGGCAGCCCACAGCAAAGCAGGGATACACCTGCTACAGGCCGCAGGCTGTCGGTGACAATTCTTAGCCAATGGGCTAGTGAAAGTTAGGCCTATGGTTAGACATTGCAAAGGGGTTTTGACCCGATAGCCACGAGGGTGTCAGATAAATGCCGAGGTGGGCAGTAAATGCTTATTTAGAGGGGTAAGGATAGTTCAAGATAGTTTAGCTCTGGACCTGGACATTCCAGCTGTATAAGTTTTTTTTTTTTTTGGAGGGGGTAGGGTTTCGAGACAGGGTTTCTCTGTAGTTTTGGAACCTGTCCTGGACATAGACCAGACTGGCCTGCAACTCACAGAGATCCACTTGTCTCTGCCTCTCCAGTGCTGGGATTAAAGGCGTGGGCCACTGCCCAGTTTATCTGTTAGATTTTATCAGTCAACTTGTTAGAATGTTTAACATAGCTGTAGCTATTTCTTTTTTCTCTTTCTGGAAAATTTGGTTCAGAGCATCAGTGTCTAGGCCAGGCACAATGGACGGACAGCTCGTACTGTGCTTTTGGTCACACAGTCCAGGGACCTTAGTCACCTAGCCCAGCCTCAACCAATGGGTCAGGTGGTCAGGTGAAATTTAAGCAACACATTTTGAAAGACTCGTCAAGTCTGCACTGCCAAGTGGACCCACGATCTTGTTTCCTTGGAAACAACATAGAGAGATGTACCGCGTTCAGAAGCCCTGAATCTCTGAACCCAGGCTGTAAATTCTGTCCACCCTTTGGCTCAGATCCCTCAGACAAGACTTTCAGTTTTGTTTATATCGTTTCCAACAGCAAAGTTCCTGAGCCTATGATTTCAGAAAACTAAACTGCTACTCTAAGCAGGAGGTCATAATAACACTTTATAGCTGCAGCATGTCCTTGGGAAAGGGTTACTTCCTGTTAATTTCACAGCTGGCTTTCTCTGCCCCTGTTACTCCAGCCTAATGAACAGTAGGGAAGATTTTTACAATCCAAACTAATTCTTAGTTTGCCAGGAACAAACAATGGAGGAAGAAGTAAGTGAGCAGACAAAATCCTGAAGTGTAAGCCCACATAGTGAGGTGGGGAGGAGACTACTATTTTGAAGACAGAAACAGGTTTAATTTATGGAACTGTCCAGTAAAGTAGCCCTATCCACAAGGGAATCATTGAAATTAGTTAAAACTGATGGCATTAAAAATTATATTCACTGGGCAGTGATGGCACACATCTTTAATCTCAGGACTCAGAAGTCAGAGGCAAGCAGCTCTCTATGAGTTGGAGGCCAGTCTTGTCTACAGAATGAACCCCAGGAAAGCCAGGGCTACACAGAGAATCCCTGTCTCAAAAAACAGAAAACCTCCCACACTAGTGAATTAACAGAACATTTGAAAACTTTAGAGCAAAAAGAAGCAAACTCACCTCAGAGAACTAGACAGCAGAAACAGCAGAATTAATCAAATTGAGAACTGAAATTAACAAAATAAAAACAAAGAAAACAATACAAAAAATCAATGAAACAAAGAGTTGTTTTTTCGAGAAAATCAACAAAATAGACAAATCTTTATCCAAACTAACCAAAAGGCAGAGAGAGAATATCCAAATTAACAAAATCAGAAATGAAAGGGGGGACATAACAACAGACACAGAGGAAGTACAGAGGATCATCAGGTCATATTTTGGAAACCTGGATTCCACAAAACAGGAAAACTTAAAGAAAATGAACAACTTTCTGGATAAATATCACTTACAAAAATTAAATCAAGACCAGATAAGCAAATTAAACAGGCCTGCTGAAGAAACAGAAACAGTCATCAAAAGTCTCCCAACCAAAAAAAGTCCAGGACCAGATGGTTTCAGTTCAGAATTCTACTAGACTTTCAAAGAAGAACAAATACCAATACTCCTCAAATTATTCCACACAATAAAAACAGAGGGAACATTGCCAAACTCTTTTTATGAGACTACAATTACCCTGATACCCAAACCACAGAAAGACAATACTAAGAAAGAGAATTACAGACCAATCTCACTCATGAACATTGATACAAAAATACTAAATAAAATACTAGCAAATCGAATCCAAGGACACATCACAACCATCATCCACCATGACCAAGTGGGGCTTCATCCCAGAGATGCAGGGATGGTTCAACATATGAAAATCTGTCAATGTAATCCACCATATAAACAAGCTAAAAAATAAAAACCACATGATCATTTCATTAGATGTTGAAAAAGCATTTGACAAAATACAACATCCCTTCATGATAAAGGTCTTAGAGAGAACAGGGATACAAGGAATATACCTAAATATAATAAAGGGAATATACAGCAAGCCAACAGCCAATGTCAAACTAAATGGAAACTCCCAGTGATTCCACTGAAATCAGGAACAAGACAAAGTTGTCCACTCTCTCCATATCTATTCAATATAGGTCTTGAGGTCCTAGATAGAGCAATAAGACACCAAAGGGAGATCAAGGGGATGTAAATTGGAAAAGAAGAAGTCAAACTCTCACTGTTTGCTGATGATATGAGAGTTTACATAAGTGATCCCAAAAATTCTACCAAGGAACTTCTACAACTCATAAACACCTTCAGTAATGTAGCATGATACAAGATTAACTCAAAAAAATCAGTAGCCCTCCTGTACACAGATGATAAAAGGGCTGAGAAAGAAATCAGAGAAACAATACTCTTCACAATAGCCACAAATAGCATAATATATCTTGGAGTAACTCTAACCAAACAAGTGGAAGACTTCTATGACAAGAACTTTAAAACTTTGAAGAAAGAAATTGAAGAAGACACCAGAAAGTGGAAAGATCTCCATGCTCTTGGGTAGGCAGAATTAATATGGTAAAAATAGCAATCCTACCAAAAGCAATCTACAGATTCAATGCAATGCCCATCAAAATCCCAGCAAAATTTTTCAAAGACCTCGAGAGAATGGTACTCAACTTCATTTGGAAAAACAAAAAACCCAGGATAGCCAAAACAATCCTGGGCAATAAAGGAACTTCTGGAGGCATCACAATCCCTGACTTCAAATTCTACTACAGAGCTACAGTACTGAAAATAGCCTGGTACTGGCATAAGAACAGACAGGAGGACCAATGGAACCGAATAGAAGACACAGATATCAATCCACACATCTTCGAACACCTGATATTTGATAAAGAATCAAAAAGTATCAAATGGAAAAAAGAAAGCATATTTAACAAGTGGTGCTGGCATAACTGGATATCAACATGTAAAAAAATGAAAATAGACCCATATCAAACACCATGCACAAAACTCAAGTCCAAGTGGATCAAAGACCTCAACATAAAGCCAGCCACACTGAACCTCATAGAAGAGAAAGTGGGAAATACACTTGAATGCATTGGCACAGGGAACCACTTCCTAAATATAACCCCAGCAGCACAGACACTGAGAGAAACAATTAATAAATGGGACCTCCTGAAACTGAAAAGCTTCTGTAAAGCAAAGGACGCGGTCAACAAGACAAAATGACAGCCTACAGAATGGGAAAAGATCTTCACTAACCCTACATCGGACAGAGGTCTGATCTCCAAAATATACAAAGAACTCAAAAAATTGGACACCAAAAGATCACATAATACAATAAAAAAAATGGAGTACAGACCTAAACAGAGAACTCTCAACAGAGGACTCTAAAATGGCTGAAAGACACTTAAGGAAATGTTCAACATCTTTAGTCATCAGAGAAATGCAAATCAAAACAACTTTGAGATTTCATCTTATACCTGTAAGAATGGCCAAGATCAAAAACACTGACGACAACTTATGCTGGAGACGTTGTGGGGAAAAGGAAACACTTCTGCATTGCTGGTGGGAATGCAAGCTGATACAACCCCTTTGGATGTCAGTGTGGCGACTTCTCAGAAAATTAGGAAACAACCTTCCTCAAGACCCAATAATATCACTTTTGGGTATATATCCAATGGATACTCAATTGTGCCACAAGGACATGTGCTCAACCATGTCCACAGCAGCTTTGTTTGTGATAGCCAGAACCTGGAGACAGCCTAAATGTCCCTCGATCAAAGGATGGATAAGAAAAATGTGGTACATTTACACAATGGAGTACTACATAGCAGAAAAAAATATGGCAGCTTGAATTTTGCATGAAAATGGATGGAGCTAGAAAACCTTATTTTGAGTGAGGTAATCCAGACACAGAAAGACAATTATCACATGTACTTACTCATAGGTGGTTTTTAAACATAAATCAAAGAAAACCAGCCTACAAACCACAATCCCAGAGAACTTAGACAACACTGAGGACACTAAGAGAGACTTACATAGATCTAATCTACATGGGAAGTAGAAAGTAGAAAAAGACAAGATCTCATGAGTAAATTGGGAGCATGGGGACCTTGGGGGAGGATTGAAATGGGGAAGGGAGAGGCAGGGAGGGGAGCAGAGAAAAAAATGTAGAGCTCAATAAATATCAATAATAAAAAAGAAAAAAAAAGAAGAAAGCTCTCCTACCATAACCAAATGATCTCTAAGGAAAAGAACACTTTGAAATTGTGCTAAGAATATTAGCCAATCACACTAGCTAAACTGTGACCCAGGGAACATTCTATGGATGCTGTCTGAAACTAGAGATAGTCAACTATCAGGTTACTAATATTAGAGCACAGTAAACAATTCACCCTTATGTGGGAGTCCCTTCTGTGTGCTGTGATTACCATTAATGAATAAAGAAACTGCAGTGGCCTACTGAGAGGGCAGAACTTAGGTAGGTGGGGAAAACAAAACGGAATGCTGAGAGGAAGAAGGCAGAATCAGGGAGCCGCTATGGAGCCACTGCCGGAGTTAGACATGCCGGAACTTTGCTGGTATGCCATGACCTCGTGGTGTTATACAGATTAATAGAAATGGGTTAAATTAAGAGGTAAGAGTTAGTCAATAAGAAACTGGAGCTAATGGGCCAAGCAGTGATTTAATTAATAATAATATAAAAAGACATTCAATTAGGGTGGTTTGTGTCACCTCCCAGGGCTTACAAATGCTAGACCAACGTTTTCCCACTGAGGTCCCACTTACAGAGCCCAGTTTGACTTCAGATTCACATCCCTCCCATCTCCAACTTCTGAGAGTTGGTATTACAGGTATGAGCCACCAAGGCCAACTAATATTTTTAATTCTTTCATAGCATTTAACTATGTGTGAAATAGTATTGGATTGTGCAGGAAGAGACCATTTTCATCATTGCACAAAGCTCTAGTCAAGCTGGTCGTGCTGGCACAGGCCTGTAATCACAGTGCATGGGATACACACACACACACACACACACACACACACACACGTTGGATTTAACATCAGTAGAAGAGTCCAAAGAAATGGTGATCTGAGAGCTGATAAGCGGAGTGGTAGGTGCAGACAACTTGTATTCTTTCTAAGACACAAGCTAGGCTCTGAGTAATTTACACGTCCATCCTTGGTTTATAGCCCTGGTTCTGTGGCCTCACAGCCTAGTCCCTCTAGCACAAGACTACTGTTTCTAAACTCCAACTCCCAATATGCCCGTCTGCGGGGCCTTTCGGGAAATGTAGTTTTATAACGCTCCAGAGCCCCTAGAGCGTCCAAGCCACTAGGCTCCGCCTCTTCAGCGCGCTCCTTTCGTCGCTGTAGGTGGCAGAATTACCGCCCGACACTTCACAGGGCGGCAACCTCGCTTTCCTTCTTTCCTTCGCTGCTCGATGGTTGTGAAGATGCCTAGACCCGCGGGAAACCCAAAGAGCGCGACTAAAGGACTGCAGGGTCCCTTCTGGTACTCGGAGCTCGGGGCGTGCTCGGTGGAAAGCGCACGCGCAACTACGGGCCTCGCGGCCTCTGTAAACACAAAAAGGCGCCTGCGCGTTGGGATCGCCTCTTGTTAGACACTCCAGGGCATCTGAGCAAAATAACAGCCATGAGTAGCAAAGGAACTGTCTCTGTCTCTTTATGGTTGCTTTATTAGTCTGTAAACTACAGACCCCTCATTTCCTTGATCCTAACACAGAACTTTCGTGAAGAATGTAAAGAACCAGAGGATTCCTCGGCCTCCATCTTTGACTTGCTGTGTGACTTGGGTAAATTGCTTCTTTGCTAAGCTTTCTGACATTTATGGATGGAATCAGCTTGGAACGGTCAAAGGAGATCCAAAGATGGAGATGAAACTCCCAAGCAGCCTGTAAAAGTTTACTACAGTCAGTTGATTGCAGGTTGAGAGACACATTTCCTCTTTCTGCAAATTGGAACCTGAGGACACCAAACAGGCCTGGGGTGGTCATTGTGAACAAGGGCTAGAGCCCAGCCGTTCTACCTTTGGGCCTAGAGTCCCTAGTGTCTTTGTTGGATGTTGGAACAAACCCACCTGTTACAGAGAGTCCTGGGGGAGCCTGGCTCCATTGAGTTGAACAATAGTCTCAGGAGGCAGAGGAGGCACTGTGCACTCTGGAGGAAGAGAACATTGTAGCTACTTCTGTGGGGCCGCCTAAGGGAAACAGACTCTGACTGGAAAGGAATGGAAGGCACTAGTCTCCTGAGCCTGTGATATACTGCTGCTCTGATCACTAGTTGGGGGGCGGGGGGGGGGGGGAGACAGCAGGACCCGAAGTGATAGAAGTGATAGTGGAGTTGGCTTGCATGATGCACATTGAACTGAGGCTTTAAGAAAAGCCTTTGGAAGCCGAGTGCAGTGGCGCCGGCCTTTAATCCCATCAGTCAATAGGGCAGGTGGATCCCTGTGAGTTCTAGGTCAGCCTGATCTACAGAGCAAGTTCCAGGACAGCCAAGGCTACACAGAGAAACCCTGCCTGAAAAACAAAACAACAAAAGGAGCCTTTGGAACATGTAGTTGAATAAGGTGATACCATGGACACGCCATGTCACACATAGGACAAGTGATGTTTGCTATGTTCTGTGGCTATAGCAGTAGGCTTTCTGCATCTGTTTGTGGAGTGTTCTCAGAGACGCTGGGATTAGATGGAAGGGAAAAGGCGGGGGGAGACAGAGGTCTGGTTGCTTATGAGGCCTCCTTGGGCAACCCAGGAAAGGTGGGTACATGTCGAAATGGAAATCCAAGATATGTTGCACCTCAAAATATCTAATCAGAGTCTCTACAAAGCCCTGGCTGTCCTGGATAAGCTGGCCTTGAACTCACAGAGATCCACCTACCTCTGCCTCAGGGATTAAAGGCTTGTGCACCACAATCACCACAACCGCCTGGCTTGGATTTCTTTTTTGAGACAGCCTACTGTTATGTAGCCCAGACTGGCTTCTGACTTGAAGTAATCCTCCCTCAGCCTCCAGAGTTCTGTATAGCCATGTGCCACCTTAGAAAAGAACTCACTTAAGGACAGAGTTGGGACAGAATTGGACCAGGGTGGGGATCTTTCCATTGCATTACATGGCAGTAATCAAGCATCTTCATCAAACATTTATGGAGTGTCTAATGTAAACTCTGAGAGGAGCTTTCTTAGAACCAGTGGAAGCCAGAGTTGCATTCACTCTCACAACGTCAACACTGTGACCTTGGATAAGTCACTGCCTGTCTTACGGCTCCAGTTTTCTCTAAAGTGGAGGTGGCAAGCATTATCCTGGGCTCTGGGGGTTTAACTATAAATCGAGTGAGTTATAGCCTGAATAGTGCAAAGAATAGCACCGGGCTGTCATTACCATGTGGTAATAATTGCTGGCTATCACTGCTTCCGGGAAAGACAGGTTGAAACAGGCTACAGCCAAACAGCGGCCTCACGTTTGTCCATCACCTCTAAACTTCCACAACATGCCTCTGGGGTGCCAACATATCTGAAAGTGAAGTAGGGACCCAGGCTCTCATGTTCTCCGGCAGGGACGTTGGCAGTGTTTGTGCGTGCTCTCCCCGCATCCCGAGGCCCGAGAGTGAAGGGATTCATTCTTGTTCCAGGTTGCACATTATAACTTTGATCATACTGGAACCAGACCATGGGTTCATTCCAGTGCCTTCAGAGTGTGGGATAGGGAGGGGTCTTCTCGATTCTTCGCTTGTGCTTTCTTTGAATGGAGCAGGCATTGGGGCCAGAGGAGATCCTAAGTGACAGACAGGACCCACCCACCAGACATTAGAAACTACATCTCCAGACTGGGTGGTGATGGAATACACCTTTAATCCCAGCACTTGGGAGGTGGAGGCTGGCAGGCCTCTGTGAGTTGGAGGTCAACCTGGTGTTCAAAGTGAGTTCCACGACAGCTAGGGCTAAGAACAGAGAAACCCTGCCTTGAAAAACAAAACAAAAACAAACAAACAAACAAACAAAAAACAAAAAAGAAAGAAAAAGAAAAAAAGAAACTACATCACTGGCCCACCCTGCTTGAAGGTGGGTGGATGCCTGGCCCAGTGGTAATTTCAACTGTGGTCCAAGCCTTTAGAAGTAATGGTTCAAACTCCTTATTTAGAGGTGGGGAAGGAAAGTGCAGTAAAGCCAGAGGGAGGGTGTCTGGTGAAGAAGCAGACCTCCTACCTTCAGGAATGGGCTGTGTCGGGCTGTGTCCTGAAGCCAGATGGGAGGAGCAGGACTTGACTCCACCCCTTCTCCCCTGGGAGAGAGCCCCCAAGGTGGTCACAAAGCTTTGGCCAGGGAAGAGGAAGTTGGGAAGACAGAAGTGGGGCTGGAGGGTAGGATCTGGTCAGAGAGGCATCCAGAGCATCTTGGGCAAGTAGGAGTGGGGAGCCCTTCCGGGGTTCCTGCAGGATTTGGTGCCTGTGGCAGGGGAGGATAAGAATACCGTGGGAGCACACTCCTGGAGGAGGGATCCAAGCAGATTCAGAAATGAGTCACAGAACCAAGCCCTAAATTTAGAAGGTGCTGAAGGAGGCAGCCCCCCCCTCCCCCAGAGAAGACGTGATGATGCCCACTGACCCAGGACTCCATAGACTTGGGGCAGGAAGAGTCCCCAGGCAGCAGTTCCATAGCAGCTGGGCCGACTGTAGGGCTGTTCTAGGACTAGATTTTTGATCCCAGAATGAAGCTTGACCTAGAACCTCTTTCTCACAGCAGAGCTCCAGGAGAGGCCCCCGCCCACATCAGCCCTTCACTCAGCTTCTCTGCCCTTGAATAGGAAGTACCAGACTCTCTGTCCCCTGCTGGCAGGCACTGTGTGACCATAAGGAGGTAATGCCACTGAAGGCAGCTTTCCGAAGGGCGCACAAGCAGGCCATTGGCAGCTCTTGGAACTGAGGGGGAAGGTGGGGGGACAATATGCTGTCATCCGATGTGCACTTATGGAGAACTCACTGTGGTTAGGGCACTGAGCTCAGCACTCCTGCTCAGCCACTCCCTCCACTGTAATAATGTAAATCTCATTGGTCTACAGTCTTAGAGGCAAGACAGTCTAGACATACTGAGGTCAGGTAAACTGAGAGTTGAGGTCTTGACCGAGACAGCCTGGCTCCCTTGTCCAAGCCACTTCCTGGACTGCTAGGCTGGGTACTTCACTCCATCTGCAGGTCTCCTTGCCCTCATTCCCAATCTGTCTTCTAGTTCCTGTGCCCTGAATTCTGGGGACTACCCTGCCAGGCTTTAGGCTTCTGCTGCCCAGGGCATCCCCAGCCTCTGGGGAGAGAGAAGCCTGTCCCCTCAACGAAGGACTTGACAGTGGACAGGCCCTGAAGGTCCTTCTGCTCTCCTGCCTCAGTCTTTAGGAAATCCCTGGAGAGAAGAGAATAGTAGATAAGAGGTACAGCTAGGAGTACTCCAACAGAACCAAGGGGACGCTCCCTCCACCCTCCCACCTCAAAAAGGATCCCACCACACCTCTGTGCTGGGGCCCTGCCAACAAGATCCTGATGCCTGCAGGAACTCAGTTTGATTGATAGCTGGGTCGATGTAGTTAGTCTTCTAGACGCCCTTGAATTTCCTGTTAGAGGCACCAGATCCATCTGCTGACTCCAAGCCCTCCCTTGGGCTCTCTGCCCAGGCTAGGTGGTAAGGGGCTCCTGGGAGTAGGTTGTCGAGTCCTTCTTTTGCCAGGGTGGGCAATAATTCTTGGGGCTCTGGCAGCAGCGGTCCCTTTCTCACAGCCCACACAGGACAGTCATCACCATGGAGGCCTCTGGGGAGTGGGCAGGGGGAAACTATGAGTGTGACCCTAGCCTGACTGACCCAGGGGACCTCAAGTTGAGGCACCTCTTGCAGATTCTGGTTCTTGTTGGACTTTATTTTCCTGCTGTCAAGGGGGCTAAAGGTCCCTGCCTGACCATCAGTTTGTGGCTGTTGTGGAGTTGAGACAAGATGAGTCTAAAGACCTAACCTGGCCTGGTGCCTTCACATGTACAGGATGTGCAGAGCCATGTGCACCACTATTACTTGGATGCAGTGTGTATATTGAACTGACACAGGTGCCCAAAGTCTGTGCAAGTCTGGGAACTGCGAGATTGGATAATATGGATGGAGCAGTTCCTTACTATGGAGTCAGGCTGGCTTCTGGCTTCAAGTTCACACAGAGATCTCCTGCCTTTGCCTCTGGGGTGCTGAGATTAAAGACATGTGTCTGAAATTTCTCTAGGTACCCTGCATTTTTCATCTGGCAGCTTCACTCTGATCTGATGCTGTGTGAGCATATATGTATGTGCACTGGTGTCAGGCTGACCATGTATGTGACTGAGATGATGTGTGTTACCCGGATAGTTCAGTGACACATATATGACACATATATGGCTGTGACAGTGTCATCATGAATGAGGATGTGGGTGACCTTGAATGACTGGCTTGGTGGCTGTGGCTCCCTCCAGGTGGCTTTGGGCTGTTTGCTTAGTGAGGCCCAGCAGTGCCAGGAGACTCACCCTGAGTAAACACTGAGATCCGGACCTTGTGGGGCTTGGATAAAGCCCCTGTTGTCACTAACAGGATATGGCCCTCTCAAGGCCAAGCCCACTTGAGAGGCCTGAAAGTGTTCTAACTTGAGGGTCTAGTTCTGCTTCCTAATGACGTCACAGAAGCCACTGTCTAACGTAGAACCTGGTCCCTAGACAACTCTTCAGCCTTTACTCCACCCTTAGTGACAGACAGGGTTACTCCAGGAGGAAGGTGGGGAAAAGGGGCCCGTGGGGAATAATTTATCATCTGTCTGGCTAGATGGTGAGTAGGGTGGGCACCTACTCAAGTCAATACTCTGTGTGTGATTCATCTCTGTAATCCTATCACTCCTGAGGCTGAGGCAGGACTGTCTCAAGTTATAAACCAGCCTGTTGATCATGGGCTACAGAGTTAGACCATGCTCCACAAAAACAAAACAGAGTGGCAGGCACTGTGTGTGTGTGTGTGTGTGTGTGTGTGTGTGTGTGTGGTTATTAAAGTAATAACTTGTCAAGTTGTCAAGGTCCCCACACGTAGAAATCAGGGTGGTGGCACTTTCAGGGCAGGAGTCGGGAGAACTGGGTCTTTTTTTCTTTGTTTTGTGTAGCCAAGGCTAGCTTCAAACTCCCTAGGTAAGTGAGGATGACAGAGAATTCCTCTTGAACCTCCTGCCTCTGCCTCAAAAGTGCTAGGATTACAGACATACTCCACCATACCCAGCTTCTGGGTTTTTATTTCTCATTGCCTCTGCTCTCTGGGCCTTAATGTCTCTAGTTGTCAGGGTGGGTTCAGATGATATTGGTCTGAGTATCTTTAGAACTGGTGCAGGGGTGAGGGCACAGGGAGCAGGGAAAGGGGTAGTTCCGGGCAGGTTCTGCTTGGCCGCTGTACTAACAGCTGCCTGACATAGATCTCGGTAGACCTCTGCTTTTCCCTATTCCAGGGACCACAGTGCTTGGATGCTGGGGGACCCTTAAGCACTTGTTCTCTTTATGAGGGTGCATGTGAGGCCCAGGCTTGCTCAGGGCCTGCCCTGGGCCTTGAGTCCTCACATTCCCTGAGCCTCTGTTTGCTGATCACTCTCTCATATAAGCTCTTATCTCTCTACCCCCATGGCACCTGCTCAGTGCCAAGCTGCTGGAGCCGGAGCCATAAAAGAACCAGGCCAGTCTCTGACCTGGAACTTACAGTGGCAACTTACCCACTTTCTACAGAGGGCCATTGCTCTGGGCACTCACTGGGCACAACAGGCATCTTGCTTTGCCAACCTTTGCACTGTTTAATCTTGCACCAGACTCTCACCACATCATGATGTTTCCTTAATTTTTTTTTAATCGGCGCCACAGTTGGATAACATGTTCTTGCCTGCTCTACTCATCCTCCAGCAGTATTTTTGGTTACTTACCTAGTGAAAGACACACATGAGTCTTCCCTGTAGTAGTTCCCAGAGATTAATGTTCCAGATGAGGAAACAGGTTGAGAGGGAGAAAGAGGAAGGGAGATCTGTTTGTAGTCACACAGGTAGGAAATGGTACTGCTGAATCCAGGTCCACAGCCAGGCTGTGGGAAGCAGGGAAGGCATGTCCAGACTCTTCTGCCAGGCTTGTTCCCTATCTCCTTGGCTCTCTCTTGTCTCTCTTATGTAGGGGTGTGATGTAACAGGATTTGTGGCTACTTTGTCGTGTTCAAGAGGCTGTCAAGAGCCTCTGAGCCAGGAACACCTAAATTCCTGCAGTGGGAAGCATGCATAGGCAAATTAACAAGTGGTATGAAGTGGCACCCTTCTGCTTACCCACCAGCAGGTCACTTGCTCTTAGCGACCCTCAAGACCCAAAAGATTTGTTCTTAATCTAGATTATGTGAGTGACAGCTTGGCTCCTATCATCTGTCTCTTCCTAGCGGGCTGGCACCTTAGGGCAGGGTGCCAGTAGGACTGAAGGTGGGGATGAGAGCTTGAGTACCCTGTTGCCTGCTATCTCTCCAGACGCATGTTACCAGGGCTAAAAAAGCCATCAGACAACAGTCAGTTCCTTAGGATCCAGTTCACAAAGTAGGCTTTGGCTTTACTGGAGTCCCCTTTGGGCCTCCCATCAGCCTGGGAGTGTTGATATCACAAACATACTGACTCTTGGGGAGGTAGACTTGGGTAGGGGAGGTTCAGACACTCAGCGCCCGAGGCCTCCCAAGCCCAAAGTCAGGCCCCAAAGCCACCTATTCATTCCCAGACACTTCTGAAGAGTGAGCTTTCTGTGTGTGTGTGTGTGTGTGTGTGTGTGTGTGTGTGTGTGTGTGTGTGATTAGTTGACCTCCCACGCTGCAGGTAGGAGGCCCTAAGGTCATTGCACAGGTCTGAGGGACCTGCAGGCTTTGTTTTGTCTTTAAAGAAGACTCACTTGGTAGAATGCCTCTCAGGGTCACTTGTCATCCGGCTACCTGTTTGCCTCTTATTATTTTTATCTGTGGTACTAACCACAAAGTTAGAGCCTCAGCCCTGATTTATTGTCATTTGAGGCAAGGTCTTACTTTGTTGCCTGAACTGATTTGAACTCCATATGTAGGCCAGGGAAGTCTTGAACTCTGTAACTCCCTGCCTCACTCTTCTGAGCAGCTGGGATTACAGGCCTGTGCTACCACATCCAGCTTCCTGCTCATTTATAAATGGCACGCTTTACAAACATCTCAGAGCCCTGAGCACTTCAGGAAAAAAAAAAAAAACATCTATTTTTGAACCCCCAGAGCTGATTCCTCAGCTTTCCCTTAACACTGTAAGAAAAGAACTCAGCATGGTGAAGCCAGGGAAGGAGCGGGGAGGGCACAGCAAGGAGTCCCCCACCCCCGGGAGGGGGGGGCAGAAGTTCAGTGCGCCGGCTCTGGTGCGGACAGCCATTGGTTCTGTCCTGCACTAGGTCAATGGTGCTCACTTATTACTCCTATTATCCAGAGGAGCAAGCACATCAAAGACTTTCCCTGCTGTTTTGTGGCACAGGACCAGTGACAGAGACAGACTGTCACACTCATACTGGCCTGGTCCCAGAAAAATTGAGCCCCCAGCCTCAGTTCACATTGAGCAGATGGGGCAGAGCTGGCACAAGGACCCAGAGGGCCCGCCCGGGCTCCCAGGATGGAGGAGTGGGTGTAGAGGAGTTAGCGATAGATCTCACACCAGGCTGTAGAGTGGGACTCTGGGCTGCTCTGTTCTGCAGGGGGAGGGACAGGAGAGCTCCAGGGTTCTGGGTCCCCAGGGTTCTGGGTTCTGGGAGGGAGGTGTGTGTACATACGGATGGGAGCCAAAGAGGGGTGGGTGCTGAAAGCTGCTAACTAGGGGTTATAGGAGGTCCTGGTTCAGGACTTTCTCAGGCCAGAGTGAGACTTGAGTGGGAATTTTGTCAAATTTTGGCCAGTCTGTGAACCTTGAGCCCTTTAAGTTGAATCAACTTCCGGCTGGGGTTGCACACCCAACTTGGGAATTAAGTTGGGTGTGTGGAGGCTTTATAACGCTCTTGGTTGTTGGGGGTTGCAAGTCGTGGCCATCTCTAAGTTACCGAAGGGCTGCCATCCCTATCCCTACTAGTTAGTCTCTCAATTGTCATGGATGTGTGTGTCCACTTTGAATCTCTGAAGTTTTGTGTGTGTGAACAGGCTGATATAGACGCGAGTACCTGCAAGGGTGGGAGCGGGGAGGAGAGAAGGGGCCCACAGTTAACTTCCAGAATCCGACTCTGCACCTTGTCCTTACTCTGAGAGCCCATGTTCTTTTGCTTCTTCGCTACAACCGTTACTCCTCACGGGGTCCCCAGTCCTCAGTTGGTCTACAGCACCTCCCGGACCTTGCCCCTTCTCCGGGACCCACGGGGGCGGACGCTAGGACCCAGAGGGGAGGGGCGGGGCGGGGCTCGGAGCTCCCGCAGCTCTTACCTCCGCAGCTTGGAAAATACCGAGCGAGGAGAGCGGAGCCTCAGAGCCCGGAGCTTAGCCGGGTGGGGGGAGGAGGGC